AAAGAAAATCCTGACACAATTTGCATTTTGAGTATGGATGCTGGGGTGGGGGAGGGGCATCTTTTTTCTACAACCCAAACTGGGAGAAAACTATTTTCTTTTCCTGTTTTTATAAGTCATGGACTTTCCTCAAATTGATCAAAGTTTATTGTTTTGCAAAATGTGTCTTGCATTGCATGTAGAAAAGTCATAGGGATGTCATGTAAAAGAACGAGACTGTACAATATACAAACCTCAGATGAATCATTTGGTTTTGATGTTGAGTGATGTCTGCGATGATCAAAATTCCCAAAGCTGCTTGACCGCTATAAAAAGGAAATGAATACTTAATAGATACTGGAGATACTCTTGTTATCTTTAAAATTGATTCACTATAAGGTGGAGAAATTGGTACAGGTTATAACAGGTACTGTTATTGATATATTTTCCTGTATTATTATTTGGCATATATTCAGGGATTATCAGCAAAAAAATATCTTAGATAAAGCAATCAATTATGTTTGCAGGAACAGAAATATCAGTTGTAAGTACGCCAATACTGGGTGCAAATAGCTGAGCAGGTAATTTCAATTATATTCACCAAATGAACTAGCATACAGTGTTGTACATTCACCTTATTGCCAAGCATCCTTATAATTTTTAGGAAATAAACATAATCAAAATAATCATGATTTTAAAGTAAAAATTGTATGTTCAATGCCTCTATTATTATAAATCACAGCATATTTTTTAATTTATCAAGAATTTCTTTGTCATACTTTCATGTCTTCCATGTTTATGAAAGTGTTTTATGCCAGGGTCTTAGAGAGAATGTTGGCATTTCAGTCTTTGTGTAGCAGTAGTACTGATCTAAAGAATGATAGTTATACAATTGGCATTAACTCTGCATTTTACAAAGTAGCTTTCTTGCAGAAATTTCACTTTAGAAGGTGTTGCAGCCTACTCATAAATTACACATTTACTATCTTTGTTAAGTGCAATTTCTTTTACATTCCTGAAAACTAAAAAAAAAAAAAATTGGAAGAATGAGAATTGATAAGCAGCATAAAATTATCATTTAGTAAACTTGCTCAGAATCATATATAGACCTCCAATTGTTAGCTTCAGCTCTGGTGTGGATCTTTATTTTAATTTATAGACCACATACATCTCTAATGTTCAGGAAGCCTAAAAATAATTTCACAAATGGGGATGCATTTCCTATATGGTCTTTGTACATCTAGCTAAAGTAGGGGGAAGTTTCTTCAAAACAAGTTTGCTTTGAATTTGCCATGCTATTACTTATCATGACTACACACATACACACATAAATAATTTGTCTAAAGAGCATTATTTTTAATTCAAATACTACAAAAGCAGATTGTCTAAAGTCACTTAATTCTTTCACAATGACTAAATGTCAAACTAAGATCTCTCACTAAATTGCTGTTCACTCAAAAGACAAATACTGAATTCAATAGCCCCACATGAGAAACTACAGGCCTTCACCTTTGGAATTACAATTCCAAACATCAAGAAGACTATATATAATTACAAATTATATCTCTGACATGCAATATAAAATGATACAATGTATACCATATGTAGACAAAGATTCATATTAAGTCCTAGACTGCAGTTTGAAGTACGCTCATGTAAAAATAAATTCAGTTAGATTTCCTGTCAAGCATATATATTTAGTATTCAGGAGGGTTGTTGTTGTTTTTTAATTTACATTTACTTTATACATTTACTGAAGGCCAAACTAATCATGAATCTGATGAGGTAGCAACCAACAGTTTCTAGGCTGGAGAGAATTTTACAGAAAGGCCACCAAGTGAACAGCCAAGTGTCTGTTAACTCATAACGTTGGGAGGAAAAGGCATAGAATTTAAAGTCTGGAGCATATACCTATTTGAAGGCTTTAACTTCTTTTCATTGCAGAAGGCAAACCATTTCTCTCTCTATGGCTTTATTCTTGTCTGCAGTAGAATCTAATTTAGCCATACTGTGTGTGAGAATCTTTGGCCAAGTAAACCAGTTGCTAAGTAAGGAATTAAGTAGGTAAGTAAGGGATTTACTAAGTAATTAACTAAGCACATCAACTAAGTAAGGGATTAAGCTCTGGGGGCCTGCAATTTACTGGTATGAAGGTTGACCCAATGATGTTAAGAGTGTGCAAGTACTTAACAAGGAATCTTAAATGAAAGGCATGATTGTGATTGGTGTCATGTATCCTTTCCCCCAGATTGTGGCCTCAAAGAACATTTCTAATCCTGCAATCTCTTTGCAAAAGCTGTTTCTATTTTCATAAGTTCCACTGATGCTTTCCCCTTCCTTGTGCACTAAGGCCTCAGTTCTAATGAATCCCTCATGAATGCTACTGAAAGAAGAAGAAACAGGTATATCAATGCTTACACATATTTAATGCTATATCCTTGATGGAACTATTCCAGCAAAGCATTGATTGGCTAACCTCTATTTCTTTCTACATTTAAAAAAAAATGGGTACAGATGAAACTCTTGGACTAAACAGTCAACATTTTATTTCAACATTTCCTATATTGACGTAATGACCAATGTTTTGACATCTGATAAAGAATAGCTCAGCAGAGTGCTATAGACACAGCCCCCAGAAATACAGGTCTATCAAGCTGGTTTAACTCCTTTTGCTGAACTTGTCATTCCTGCTGACCATGCTTCAAGGTATTATGGGAGACTAGAAGGCAGGAAAGGTCTAAGGAAGTCAGCAATTACCTACCATCCTAGTTAATTAGGTAAGGAGCAAGTTCATGCCATGATAGAGCATTTTTTGTATAGTCAGGATGCCTGCCGTGAACTGCTATTTTTTTGAAATGCCAGTGTAATAGTGAGACACCAAGGAGCAAATGGGAAATAATGCTTCTTGCTGCTGTTCTCATACTCAACTGCAGCTTGGGGAAATCAGTTATCCCTTCAGAGTCTCATATGCTTTCTAAACAGAGGCCTTGGGCCATTGTGTTATGTTTCTTAGCTTACTGTTGCTCTGCACTTATTAAACATTAATAAGGATTGCAGGATGGTTTCTACCATTGTAGATAATGGGTTTGTTGCACAGAAGAGCATTAAGCAGGCTTACTTCAGCATTCTCAGCCCTAATTTTTTTCACTCCCCATTAAGTAATCAATACAGCTGCCATTTTTAAAAATGCATTTGAATCCCCTGTTAACAGTAAAGAAAAATGCATGGAAGAGTGGGGGCCCCATAAAGTATGTGTCTGTGTATATGTGTGCCTATGAAACATTACTTTTGCTTGCTTCTACATTGCACATGACCCACCACGCTAGCTTAAGCAAATTTCAACTTCTGGAAGATAGCATAGCAACATGCAAGCTTGCTTGCTTGCTTTCCAATGTTAGCAAAGTTTTTAAAGCAAGTGCAGTCCCTTGGAAAAAGAATGGCCCTTTGCTTTTGACACTGGTATTCAAAATCCTATAAGATTAAGTGATTCCTTTTGGCAGAATGGCTACATTAAGCAAATTAACCTCCCCAAACATAAACGTGCTTCAGGAGGGACGTGGCTTGTTTGCACCCATTAAGAGCAAAACTTAGAAACCCAAAATGTTCTTTCCAAGCTCTCAGATCTTTTTGATTAGAAGATGCACTGGAAAATGCAAGAGTTAGTCACTGATCTCTTCAGCAGCATGTGTAAAAGTAGCTATTTTTTGCAATATATTATTTAGTTGCATTTCTTCCTTTTTTTTTTCCTTTGAATTTGTGGTTCAATGCATAGAGATCACTTTTCCTACTGGCCAGCTGATCAGACAGGAAGCTGGCTACAATTAATAGCAAGGAATCAAACAAACTGGTTCCCTTCAGAGCCAACTGATTACCTGGATGTCTGGGATGAGGCTGCTCACTTCCTCCAGAAGTGAATCTCTGGGATGGATATATGAGAGAAAAAGAATAATGTGTAAGTGTGTGTTTGTATACATGTGTGTAAGAGATGTACTTTTGTGTGAATGAGTACATGGACATTTGCTATCCTGACTCCGAACCTAAAAAGCATGCATATCTGTGTCAGCTGTTATGTGTGAATTAGCTAATGCATTAGTGCAGCTGTGCAGTTTGTACTATGGATTATTGTTGTTGTTGTTGTTGTTATTATTATTATTATTATTATTATTATTATTAATTAAAGCCAATTCTGAGGCCGGCTGACCCTTGATGACTCTGAGTGGCTTACATATAAAAGAGAAACAAAACATACAAAAAGAGAACATGGCAGACCAGAAGAACAAACCCCCAGTCTTAAACCAGACAAAATTAAGCTAAACTAAAATGGGTTCCACAATCACCCTGTCCCAAGGCTCGGGAGAACAACCAAGTTTTTAGTAAATTCTGAAATAATAGTAGGAGCTACATGAATCTTTGGGCAGATACCATTCCACAGAGCAGGCACTGCAACAGAGTAGGCATGTATCTCGGGTCTCATATGATGAGACTGTTTGATGGACAGGACCCAGTATGCATCCAACCTACACCCAGAGTGCATCTACAGGAAGAAACAATTTGATTGGATTGATCATAAACAACACAGAAGTGATGAAATAAGCTATACAAGAGGGATTTTTTATTATTATTATTTATAATTAAATGTATATGCTGCCCATCTCCCCCAGAGGGTGATTCTGGGCAGCCTGGTTACTCTGGGCAGATTTATATTGTACCCTCCCCTTCTGACACACCCACATATACAGAGATCCAGTTTTGAGTGTGAACTTCACGGCTTCCCAAATTTACTGTGAATTAATAAGTATTTACTAGATTGAGTTTTTGGTAAATATTTATTGTAGAAAAGATTGGCTGCCAAGTAGCCCATGAACTTTTTGTGCCCCAAAGCAAAAAATAAAGAAATTTTGTACTTACCTTTGAAAAGGGTGATATTCATCCACAGGTTTTATATTTTGGGTTTTATATGTACCAATTTTAATTTAACAACGTAAACAAATAAATATGACCATCAAGTAGTCCTCACTTACTGACTGCAATTGGGACCAACAACTCCATTGCTAAGTGACATGGTCATAAAGTGAAACATCACTTGACCACGCCCACCCATGATGTCAGTTCTGGCTGTGGTTATAAAGTGAATCACTATGGTCATTAAGTGTGATATCATGTGACCACAACTTGCAACTTTCTGCTGGCTTCCCCATTGACTTTGCTTGTTGGAAACCAGCTGTGAAGGTCGCAAATGGCTATCATGTGACCATGCAACTGTTGTAAATGCATGCTGGTTACCAAGTGTCCGAATTGTGATCACATGACCATGGGGATGCTGTGA